GTACGGATATGACTGTGGATAAAAGACGAGTAAAACACCCACACCCAGATCCACCCACACCCTCATCCACAGCCACCCACACCCGCACTCACACCCACCCACACCCTTACCCACAGCCACCAACATACACATCTTCACCCACACGCTCACTCACACCTAAACCCACATCCATATTCACACCCTCACCCACACCCAAAACTCACTCTGAGATTCTCAGTGGTTTATTCTGGAAACGACAGCAACACAACAGATCAGATTACAGTCTATGTTGATATATCGTTTGGTATCAAGAAAAAGTATAGTTTTTTCCTTGTTGGACAGACTTTATTTTACGATTATATGATCATTATTCCACAAATTAGAAATAAAGCATGAAGTGTAAATGTAAAGATTATTATTAAATTGATGTTGATTTTTTTCTACAGGCTATGTTATCATATACTATCATGAAACTAACATTATCGTTTTAACACGTTTATTAGTTGTTTGAACATGGTTTTATTCTCTTTTTAACGTTTTTTATTACTAGTAGACAAGTCTATCAACGACAGTAATTCTTCATTCACATTCACATCACAGCAGCAAAAAAAATTTCCTCTCACTAAAAATATATAACTTTTTGCTCCTTTGGACTAGAGACAGCCTGTACTCTTACAACCAGTGAAGTTAAAAATAAAAACGGTCGATAATGGACACAAATTTATTAAACAAAGGTAAAATCATTTTTCAGCTTCTTCTAATAATTTTAATTCAATGGACAACTATTACGTGTCAATTGAATCTATACCATACTAATGAAGCAATGAAAAGCAATTCTTTACAATATAATTGTTTGAATTATCATATTCATCGTGAGAAACCAGCTTATTCTAAATTATTAGATATTGTTGATGAAGTCATTCCGTACTGTTTTCGCCCAGTAAACTATTTCGAAGAATCATCCGAAACCTCTGTTCATCCGCTTTCTCAAAAACTAAGTTTCGAAGAATTACGTCTGGCTCATACTACTTCAGAACAACTTCTGTCGTGGTCAATTTCGATTGATGTAGCTCAACGATATCAATTATATCTAATTGAATCGAATGCTGCATTTAATGAAGTTGTCTACAATTGTACTGAACCGTGGTTTGGCCCTCGATGCCAATATTCGTTTCCTTTCGGCGGGCGTACATCTTTCAACCAAATCGTTGAAGCGGCTTTTCGTGGAAGAACACCATTTCCTGAGTCATCTGAAGTGATAGTACAGGTGCCATGTTATGTTCTTCTAGAATGCCATCGTAATGGACAGAGTTGGTGTCTTGATTGGCGTGAAGTATGTAACGGAATCGTTGATTGTTTTGATGAAGCTGTCGATGAAGAATATTGTTTCGATATGGAGATAAACAAATGTGAGAAAAATGAATATCGCTGTCACAATGGATTGTGTATATCAAGCGAACTTTGGGAAGAGGGTGAAGGCGATGCAGATTGTCTCGATCGATCAGACGAAGTATTGGATGCCTTCTATATAGCATCCTGTTTCCAAGATCCCACATTCCGTTGTGAAGAACATTCTTGCAGAGCACACGAGGGTACATTTCCTTGTGGAGATGGCCAATGTGTCAACACATTTGATGCATGTTATAATGGACGACACATGTTACTGATAGACGCGATGACAGCCAAGGGTAATCTAACAGACGAATGTTGGATTGCTATGATCTGCCTCACTGAACTCGCCGAGCAAATTCATGGAAGTTCATGTAAAATATGGCTGATGAACGACACTATTTACGAGTTCCTCAAACAATGTGATTCGCTTTTCCAGTTCCCGACTACTCCAGTTCACTTTGGTCATATTCGCTTCTTTTATGAAGACCCTTATTTAAGACAGAAAATGGATGAGTTTTTTCTCCCTGATTATCTTTGCTACAATCAACAGCTATGTGATTGCATTAAGCCTGATTTAATTCGTGAAAATCTCACTTGTATAAATATGTCTAAATTAATGCTAAATCTGGATATTGAAATCGGATCTTGGAACGAACTGATGTGGTTGATCGAACAAGTTTTTCGTCCTTGTTTGATTTTTCATGCAATCTCACGCAATAAAACAGAAACATATGTGAATCATTCGTTATTATATAACTGTCACAACTCATCAAAATTCATTTCTCTACATCGCATCAAGGATGGTATACAAGATTGTTTCCATGGTGATGACGAGAAGTATCTAAACAGCTGCTTACTTAACCATCAATACCGAGTGAAATGTCACAATACAGATACATGCTGGTCTCCTATATGGAAAGAGTATGCTTGTTCAATGACCGGACAGGAAGACAATATTCCATTTCAACGTTTTTGTAATGGTATCAACCAATCCATTTACTACGATAATTCTGGACAAGATTATAATGAGGAGTTCGGATGTGAAGAGTGGTTATGTAACAATATGTATGCACGTTGTGATGGTTATTGGGCATGTCTCGATGGACGAGATGAGAACAATTGTAGTCGAGCAAGCTGTCCTTTACAAACTCACACTTGTATAGATCCTGTTAATTTTACAGTAATCTGCTTACCTCGCACACGTGTTAATGATGGAAACGATGATTGTCTTGGCGCATCCGACG